TTCTGTGGTATTAATTACATTCACAATGTTGTGTAACCCTTACCAGTATATATTTCCAAAACTTTCTTGCATCTCTAAAGAGAAACTCTGTAGCCACTAAGCTGTAACTATTCTCTGTCCCCATAGACCCTGGTAACCTCTAATCTACTTTCTGCCTGTATGAATTTGCTTATTCTAGGCACCTCATATAAGTGGAATCATGCCATGTTTGTCCTTTTGTGTCTGGCTTATTTCACTTAACATAATTTCTTCAAGTTTCATCTAAGTTGTAGCAGGTATGAGAATGTCCTTTTTCAGGCTGAATAATATTCCACACACATAATATAACACACTTTGTTTATCCATTCATCTGTTGATGAATGCTTGGGTTTTTCTGCCATTGAGCTCTTGTGAGTAATGCTGCAGTGAACAGTGGTGTACATGTGACTGCTTCAGTCTCTGCTCTCAGTTTCTTTGGGTGTATACTTAGGAGTAGAATTGCAGGATCATATGGCAATTCTATATTTAGCTTTTTGAGGAACTGCCAAAGCTATTTCAGTAGTCATTGCACCATTTTACATTCCCTCTAACAGTGTATGAGGGTTCCAATTCTCCACATCCTCCAAATCCTCCAAGATTTTTATTTTCTGTTTTTTTATTTTTGTATATGTAATAGGCATCCTAATGGATGTGAAGTGGTATGTCATTGTTTTGATTAGCATTTCCCTAATGACTAGTGATGTTGACCATCTTTTCATGTGCTTATTTCCATTTGTATATATTCTTTGGAGAAATTTATGTCTTCTGTTATTTTTTATTCAGGATTTTGTTGTTGTGTTGTAGGAGTTCTTTATATATTCTGCATATTGACCCCTTATTGGATAATTTGTAAATATTTCCCCCCCCACTCCATGGGTTGCCTTACCACTCTGTTGATGGTATTCTTTGAAGCAAAAGTTTTAAATTTGATAAAAGCCAATTCTTCTATTTTTTTAATTGCCCATGCTTTTGTGTCACATCCAAGCAATCATTACCAAATCTAACATCATGGAGGTTTTTGCTTATGTTTTTCTCTAAGGGTTTTATACTTTTAACTCTTATGTTTAGGTCTTTGATCCCAAAATTGTTAAGTTTTGTATATGGTATAAGATATGGGTCTAACTTTACATTTTTGTAAGGGAATGCCCAGTTTTCCTAGCACCATTTATTGAAAAGGGTGTCCTTTCCTTCATTGAAACAGGGAGAAAATTTTTTGAAAATATTTTTGCAAAATGTGAATTTTGCAAAATGGAATTTTAATCTCCCTGAAAGCACAGATTGATGGTGGAATTTCCCCCCTCTTGCCCCCCCCCCCCAAATAATACAAAAGTAATGATTCTGGTATGGGTAGCTTTTGTGGTTAGTATTACTGTAGACTCTTTCCCACACTTATGAAAAGAGCAGCCTCCCTGAATTTTATGGATTTGAGATGAGAATAATATTACAATACATTTATAAATTAAGTATTGACAGTAAAGAAAACGTATAAGTTAATTAAAAAACACTTCAAATTTTGGAAAGGAAAAAACTGTGTTGTTGAACTGTATAAGTTCTAATGTTTTGCATATATATACTTTTTTTTTGTCTTTGTAGAGTCAACTGGATGTGCCATTTAAAGTTAAAGTTGGTCATATAGGTAAGCCATACTTCTTATTGGAATGTCCTCCTTGCTGGACATGCAACCAGAATGATATGCCTTGTATCCCTGTAATGTGATCTCTTTAATGTTTCTGAGCTTTAATTTAAAATAATCATGCGTTTTTGTCTAGGTGGAGCTTAGTTGTGTAACTTAAAAATATTGTGGGGTCAATATATCCCTTGCCAAGTACTTGATACCTGAAAAATTACATATCTTACTAAGTGTTAACATTGAATTGAGAGCCAAAACATTACATCTAACAGAGACTTCAACTTTCTCAGTTTTCTAGGTTTCTGACTTGTTACCATTGGTATATTCTGATTGGTATTGGATAGATGGTGTAAAGAGTAAGGTGTGGATCATCCAGGCACTGTGACTAGGGGCCAGTCAGAAAACTAATTACTGTTCTGGAAGTTTTTCTAGGTTTTTAGAAAATATTACATTATTTACTATTCTGTATTATTTTATTAGTGTTTATAGTTTGTATTTTAAGTCTGTTGGTTGAGCTGAAACTGACTGAAATGTAAGGTTTTAACATGTTTAATAAAAACTCGTCTGTCATAATTATTTTATGCTGTACTTTTATTGGTTTAAATATTATACAAGGTAATAGCATCTTTAGTTGGGACTTTGAAATTTTTTTTTTTTATATAGATAGTTTTTGTAGTAGGACTTGTATAATGTTATTGAAGTTATATTCGTGTCCCTTGGGGAACAAGGTATTCTGAAAGCTTATATAAATTACATGGTGACAGTCTTCACAATTTTGTGTTCTATGTTTGGGATTAGACCACATAGCACAGCAAGTTTTCATCATCTTATGTTGCTAATACTGAAATTCTATTTCCCCCTTGTTGGGCCTTAAAAACTAACGCCACCTTAAGTGACATTACAAGCGGTGCCATTATGGGCCCAAAAGGGCATATTAACGTGGTAGCCTAAGATGGCGCAGGGAGGAAGTAGGGTGGGAGTGTCTGCGGGGAACCTTGCCTTAGCCCTTATTGGCCAAATACGAGCTTCTGCGCTCGTGAACACTGCATGATTGCAATAGCTAGGCATTGAGACAGGATGCATGTTCTCGTAACCTTTAAGCTGATTGGAGGATGTAAAAACCTCCCTTCCCCATTTGCCTTTAAAAGCAAGTGCTTGTGTGATAATAAAAGGAACTGCTTGACAGAACCCCCGCCATGTCTGAGTGTTCTTTAACGGGCTGGTTGGGGCCGGTGGCTGTGCTCACCTCTCTTCACGGCTCTCTTCCTCCGTCTCCTCCCAACAGGACTAGGGAAAGAAGAATCTGGGCAATAAGCCCGCCCACCAGAAGGGACACCAAGGGAAGGACTGATAGCAAGGCAAGGGCTGTTCGGGTCAGCCGGTGGTGGACCCGACACCCCCTTCCCAATTTAAAGACAATTTAGCATTAGTAAGAGGGGAGAGATGTCATTCATTTTTTTTCTACCTAACATCTTTATTTTTGCATATTTCTGATTGTTTACATGTGTACATGCTTGTAATGATGCTATATTTATCATTTTACAGGTTTTTTGGTTAAGATGTAACAAGGATTTTTCATCATCCAAATTGATTTGACATTTATTTCTTATGGTACCATAATAATCCAATGAATTCATGTTTGTATATTGTAGGAAAATCTCATTTTTCCATTGGTCCAAAAGTATTATAGTATCTTTTATGTAGCTTATAAAGTTTGCCAAAAGTCATTGAATTTGCAGTGATAATTGTTATATTTCAGTGTATGTTAATTTAATCTCAAATTAGAAAAGTCAAAAATATATTGGTTGATAGACCTATTTCCTTTAGAGCATGTCTTCCTGTCTTCCCTCTTTTTTCTTGCCTCATCTTATTTAAAAGTGACAATAAAGTAACATAGTGGAAAGTACAGTGGACACTAAACACAAGATAATTTTGAGAATCATCTAAGGTGTTTGTGGATCTCTATCATAAATCTCTTTCTGTCTTTCTTTAATATCATTATCATTTATTTTTTCGACTAGTCACTAAGTTTCTTGAGAAGTGGGTTTAATTTTTATTGTATCCTCGCCACTTAGCACATTACCTGCTATATAGTAGGGGCACAGTTTGTTCAATGAAAGAAGTACTACACATTTCCAAATGATTGGTACCATAGTACAATCAATTTTATAAGAATGTATTGACCCCTTTCTATTATTAGGTATTGTTAGTTTTACTGATCTTTCAGTTTTCCTCATTTAGAATGCAGAATTACATGTCAAGTGTTAAGTACATAGGTGCATATTTTAGAAGGGGTTGTCTTTGTGTGTAAGGATTTTGGAATTACTTCTGTTTATATTTTTCTGAATGTGCCAAGTTTTTAACATGTAGTCTACATTTTATAGTGAGAGGAAAAAATAGTTTGGTTTTTTAAAAAAAGATTTAGTGGTGAAAATGGTACATTACTAATTTGATATGAGTGTGTTTCTTCGATTACTTACACTGTGCTATTATGTTACTGTTCTTTGTCCTGTTGTTCATTTGCTTTTTTTTTTTTGAGTACTAATGTGTGTGTTTTAAGCAGTTTATTTGGTACATTTATAAACTTTGTCATATTTGTCACAGTTTTTTTCCAATCTGCTTATTTCATTTTGGTTATATTTTTGGTCTGTACAGAAATGTGAAATAATCATTATCTTCTTTGATTTGAAACTTAGAAAGTTATTTCTGTTTTAGAAATCAGATAATTTAGTTTTGTATGATGATATCTTTTTCTCAGTTTGGATTTTCTAAACTTGGAGTTTTGGGGTTATGTAATGAGATGGCTCTAAGTAGTAGATTTTTTTTCCCCTTCCCAAATTACTAACTTATTAGTGCAACATAATATATTTAATAATCTTTCCATTCCCCAATTATGGCAACTGCTTCTATATCTAAAACCATATACTTTTTGAAAATTTAAATATATTTTGAAAGTCTTTTTTTATAGAAATCTTCTAAATATACAAAACCAGAGTCAGCATAATAAACTTCACACATACTGTTTTTTAGTTCAAGAACCCTAATGTTTTTAAAAATACTTTGCTGTTGGATTGTCATAAATTGTGTTCATTAGTTTGAGCAATTTTTTAATATTGCCAGTGATCCTTTATTATCATTACACGTGTGTATGTACAAGGGTACTTCAGAAAGTTCATGGAAAACTAGAATTAAAAGATGTTATGGGGCTGGCCCATGACTCACTTGGGAGAGTGTGGTGCTGGTAACACCAAGGCCGCGGGTTTGGATCCCTATATAGGGATGGCCGGTTGGCTCACTTCAGAGAGTGTGGTGCTGACGGCACCAAGTCAAGGGTTGGGATCCCCTTACCGATCATTTAAAAAAAAAAAAAAAAGATGATATGAATCTTTCCATGAACTCTTTGAAGACCCTTTGTGTAATTTTTTATACAGACTATATATAATAATATATTCCTGTATGATATTACACACACATATATATGAAATATATGTATATACATTTACATAAAGTATATGATCTACCTTTTGAAATATAAGAAAAATACTTCTAGAGGTTTAGAGTAAGAATTGGGGAAATTTAAAGTTATGATATCAAGAATTGTTGATTAAAGGCAGAATAATATTGGTGTGTTTATTGTACCATAAATCACCATGAATAGAAACTTATAGATATTTAGAATATAATTTCCTATATTTTCTAAAGGTATTGATATAAATAATTTCAAATGATAACAACAAAGGCTTGTTGTTTTTGGTTGTAAAACAGCTCTCTATAAAGTGACTGAGCTTTTAAGGATAAAAGCCACTTTGTTATCTCTTCTAATGCCTGAAAGAATGACAGTAAATGTATGTTGAATGAATAATAGTTTTTATCCTTTTTTTTTTTTTTAAATAATGTAGGTAATCTTAAACTTATAATTCCATGGAAAAACCTTTATACTCTACCAGTTGAAGCTGTATTGGAAGATGTTTATTTACTCATAGTGCCTTCTTCTAGTAAGTCGAATTTTCAAAATTATAGTTAAAGTTATTCTTTTTTGGGCCGGCCCGTGGCTCACTCGGGAGAGTGTGGTGCTGATAACACCAAGGCCACGGGTTCGGATCCTATATAGGGATGGCCGGTTAGCTCACTGGGTGAGCGTGGTGCTAACAGCACCAAGCTAAGGGTTAAGATCCCCTTACCGGTCATCTTTTGGGAAAAAAAAAAAAGTTATTTTTTATGGGTGGAAAAATATTTATATTTGATTTATTCGTTAAAAATACCTTTGGGAAATTTTTTGAGATTTTTTAATATTTAAATTTGGTATTGTAATTTGTTAAATTTATTCAAATTAAATTGGTTTTTACTTTGTTTTTGCAGACTTTGAATTAGTGATTGTTTTCAAGGATATTTTTTGGAATGAGTGTATTTAAATTTAGGGTAATGTTAGATTCTTCCTTTTTATGCTCCCTGTAGGAATAAAATATGATCCTTTAAAAGAAGAAAAACAACTCATGGAAGCAAAACAACAGGAACTAAAAAGAATAGAAGAAACAAAACAAAAAGTAGTTGATCAAGGTAAAGAAAACAGTAAATAAAAATAATAGGTGGAAAAGACCTAAATATTTATCATAATTGAATATTTTTCTGTGGAGGCACTGAGATTATTAACAAATATGTGAGGATCTTATTACATGGGGAATTTTAATATGGTTTTGTGTTCTGTCATGTGTACAGAAATTTTACCTTGCAGAAATTATCTTAAGGCAAATAATGTGTCTAGCTTACAGGGGTAGGTCAATTTTTCATGATAGCAATTAATTTTGTCAAGTATATTTTCTTACCTTTCTAGCCTTTGCTTTTTAAAATTTTCCTTGTATTAATTCTTCACCCTTTTGAAAATACTTAGTTCCTTGGTATATTTATATTTGCCTCAGTCTATTTATCCTCTGGCTTCTCATCTTTTCCTATTCAGCCTGAACCATATGGTCTATTACTACACCTTCTTTGTCATCAGTGGAAGAGGTGTCCTGCAGAAAGCTAATTCCTTTTTCACCTGTCCTCTGGTCACCATCATTAGCTAGTTTTTGCACTCTGACTCTCCCTTCTTCCCTAATGGGTTTTTCTTCTTAGCATGTAAATACACTGTAACTTCTTATCCTAAAACATAAAATCATCTTCCTAACCTAGTTATGTGTTCATCTCCTCCTCTGTCCTTCATTTAATAGCTAAGTATCTTAAAAGAAAAATGTGATTATTGACTTCACTCTTCCTGTCATGCATTAGTTTTTTAATTAAAAATAAACTCTAATATTAAACGTTTTACCTTTTGACAAACATTAATGGAGATTTAACATACAATCCCTGACAGTAACTCTTGTAATTTTTTTTTCTGTCACAATTCTTTTATATCTTAATTAGTCATTCGTCTCTACCCCCCAATCCTCTTTCCTAAGTTTCCTAGGCTTTTTCCTTTTAAAAATTATTTTTATTTTACCAAGGTAGTACATATATATAGCTTTAAAAGTTAAACAGTACTATAGGATCCATAATTTAAAACAACTCTGTCCCCAGTTGGCTGGTTAGCTCAGCTGGTCAGAGTGTGGTGCTGATAACACCAAGGTCCAGGGTTTGATCTTGTATTGGCCAGCAAAAACAAAAAACAGACAAACAAACAGAAAAACCCCAAACCAAATTTATCCTCTGGATCAGCCCTGCACTCTGCTTCCTGGAGAACTCCCATATTACTAAATAAGATGCTTACACCTC